AGATGGGAGCCATGTTCTGCTTGGGCCTCCTCATCCTGGAGCTCAAATCTGCCAGCTGCAGCCATCAGCTCCTTGCTCAAGCTGCAACTCTGCTGAGTGCTGAAGAGGAGGCTCTGGACCAGCACCTCCAGCGGTAAGATGCTCCCAAGGGCTCAGAGAAATCTGGACCTTGGCGTTTCCATTGCTGAATATCTCAGTAGTGAATGTCGAGTGGACCTAGGGGTCTTTACGCAGAGACAATATGGAAGAACTGCCAAGTAAAGGTAGGTGCAGTCACGCCGTACAGGATGACCCATACCAGGGACATCCTTGTTTCCTCCTGATGATAGAGAGGACACTGCCTGTTTGTACACACATTTGCAAATATAAAACTGCATGTATTTAAACATATTTCTAGTTAACACATTTTACTTATGATAAAGAAGATGTGGCTTGGTGACACACACGGATACCTACATACACTTATATTTGCCAGTTAAGTGTTTATATGTATATAGATAACATTTTTTGAACCATTACTCAGCAAAAAAAAAAAAAAAAAAAAAAAAAATTTTTTCAGTCAAATTGACAATATCTAGGCACCTGGAGACAAGAAATGTTTTGCTCTTCCAACCTTCAAGCAGCATCATTCCTTCTTGGAAGATGAAGAAAACCACCTGAAGATGATTAACGCATTGGCTCAGAGAACCAGACTCCCAGCCATGGCAGGGAAAGGCTGGATCTCTGAGAACCGTGGGGATTATTAACGAGCCAGGTGAGGGAGAACAGTTATCCAAATGAGCCTTTTTGATGTTCTTTCCTGTAGAGGAATATTTTAGACCTGACCAAAACAAATTCAGGGGGCAAGAGGGGAAGAAATAATGGGCATGTGAGGGGAGAGAGGATGGACAGGAGTCCAGGAAGCTAAAGTGGGCTAAGTCATTGCCACCCTTTGAGTGTCAGAATGGATGGGGAAATTGAGCTGTTGGGGAAGTGTCTGCTGGTAAATGAGAAGGTCATGCAGTTCATGTCCAAAGGCAGACAGAAAGCCATTATCAAAACTGATGCCATCTTATTTCTAGCTCCTTTTCATGACTTTTCATCCTGCTCCTGTTAGGCTGCTGCTGTAATGGGACTTCTTACTGAATGGCCAGTGAAGCCTAGAAAGACCTAGCAGTGTGCCTTAATACTGCATTGGAAGGCCCTGGTTTTTCTGAGACTTAATTACCTAAATGCAGTAATTAACTTGCTCATCACACCGGGCTATAGATCACAGACTGTAGAAACTTAAATGAGTGCAGGACTCTTTTCTACATAGGTCTGATGCCACTGAGGTATTTTGACATCACAGCCACTTCTGCCTGCCCCTGCTCCTTTCAACACTCCTCAGTGTCTGAAGGCTTCATGTTTGGTCTCACTGTGGTGTTTTCAGACTCTTCCTCTGACAGCAAGCGCTTCCACCTGCCAGCATGTATATTTCAACTTGTCTTTTCATCTTTTCCTTTGCTAAGCCATCTTGGGTGTAGGCATGCCTGAATTTTCTTTCTTTCCCCTTTCCACCCTCTCTCCTCTGCTGCTCATTGAGGGAAGACTGAGCAGGACTGGCTTTGCTTGCTTTCGTCAAATTGATTGCGCCTGTCTGTTTGATCCAATGCAGTGAGGATTAGTTGCCTGCAAACTGGAACAAAAAGAAATCTGTCAAAGAAATGCCTTTTCTAATTTAAGTCTAAAGAATTTGATGTCAGGCCTCAAATACAATGGCTGCTCTATAGGTTATCATAAGGAGTTAGTATTATTTGCCCCCACCCCTCCACACCATTTCACACAACCATGAGTTTTTCCACTATGTCCCGTCTAAGGGTATTGAAGCTAGAGGTCCTCCCATGACCTCTGACCCTTCCTAGGCTGGTGCAGCTTCCTAAAGGCAAGATACCTGAAAAGAAGGTGTGATTAATATGTCTACTTTGAATAGATTTGAATTAAAGTTTGACTGGCATGGAGTTTGGTGGAGATCAGCAGGAAGGAAACTACCTATTTCACCCAGATATTTGTATGGTAATATATTTTCCTATTCGTTACGAAGCAGTTGACCACACAGATTGTGATTATTGCCCAAAGGACCTGAAGACTACATGGTTGAGAGGGAAATCACCCTGAGCAATGCTTGACCCCCAAAATATTCCAGTCAATAAGCTTATGGTCATGAAAAGATGACACAGAGAAAATTTATAAAATGAAATCTTCTGGTTTAAAACCATCAACAGGCTTTTGAGTAGCATTTGACTAGTTTCTGATGAATAAAGTTAAATCCTGAGATGTAATAATCAGCAGAGTGAATCCTAAGAATTATGTATCAGGATTCTTATTGTAATACAAAGAATGTAGCCAATATTTGTCAATACAAATATGTCCTTTTTTTTTTTTTTTTTTGAGACGGAGTTTCACTCTTGTTACCCAGGCTGGAGTGCAATGGCATGATCTCAGCTCAGCACAACCTCCGCCTCCTGGCTTCAGGCAATTCTCCTGCCTCAGCCTCCTGAGTAGCTGGGATTACAGGCACACGCCACCATGCCCAGCTAATTTTTTGTACTTTTAGTAGAGAGGCAGTTTCACCATGTTGACCAGGATGGTCTCGATCTCTTGACCTCGTGATCCACCCGCCTTGGCCTCCCAAAGTGCTGGGATGACAGGCATGAGCCACTGTGCCCAGCCCTCTGTGTATGTTTTAAAGAGGAAACCTCTATCACCCTCTTCCACTCCTGCCTCTTTCTTTAACATAACAGGTTTCCAGCATCCTACAAGATCTGTGTTGTTGCGCAGAAGGAATTATGAATAACGAGGTGGGTGAGGGGCTCTTCTCCAAAGGTCTGCCCTAAAGAAATGCAAGAATGTGGTACTGCATCCCCTCCTAAGTCCACAGGCAGCATTAACTCCTGGGAGTGATCAGCCAGGAAGACAAAGTGTGGCTGCACACTGTGGACATCATGTTTTCTGACAATAGGTTTCATGCCTCATTTACCATAAAAACAATTAAGAGTGTAGTCAACATCCACAGAGCAACTCATCATCACTCAAGAGCAGAGGAAGAGCAGAGATAGCGGATGTTTGCCTGGTGGCTAACACTTAAAATGAAGTACATGTGTGCTTTGTGGTGGATTTCCTTTGGCAGTCCTCTTCTTCCCAGTTGCTCATTTCAGAAATGTCTGCATACTCGTGAAGGCGTCTTTTGATCTTCCTTTCCTCTTCCTTTCTCCTTCCTCAATCTTATCCCTGGAAATAATGGTGTGTGCACTGCAGGAACGCTAAGCTGCTTCTTCCGGAGGAGCCGTTTATCCATTGTGACAGGTCTTTTGCAAAGTCATTTAAGTTTTGCCGAGTCAGCCACTGTTTGTCTGGATTTGTATCCCTCCACTGCCTCTTGCTCTTCTCCATCGAGCCCCCCACTCCATTTGTCCCTCCATTAATAACTAGAGAAAGCTAAAGCTCAGAGCTTCAGAGATGTGCCTCAGCAATGGCTCAATACTCCGTGTTCTCTGAAATTATAGTCCTGTGTGTTTTAGCCTGGGCTCACCTTAGTACCTACATAAACTAGGTTTGTTTGATGTAACAACACTAAAAGAATAAAAATTAGACATAGATCTTAGACAAAAATGTTTGATAATTCAAAAGGTGCTTGATTTTCATTTTTAAAAGTTCAATTTTGTTGTTTTGAAAGAGAAAATGAAATTAGGAATGCAGTATATGGCATATATATTAATATTTACATATTATAGTTTTACTATTGAATCATTTTGTAGTTTTAAATAATCCACCTTTTATCACTGATTAGTAATGCCAGTTTATTATGTAGTATATACACATGCATGTGCCTGGGTGTATTTTCTGGATTTGTATTCTGTTCTGTTAGTCTGTCTGCTGGAAACATAGATTTTTAATACTGTAGCTTTGTAATCTAAATGCATGATGCTACAAACACCACCTCATTAGTATTAGTTTAAAAATGTGTTTTGCTACATTTCCTTCTTTATTTTCACTGATACACTCTATAATGAGTTGTTAGCTGCCAAAACCTCACCAACTGGGATTTTAACTCAGGTAATATTAAAATTATAGACATTTTGAGTCTATTGACTGCTTGCCTATGTTACTTTTATAAAATTTGATATTTTTATTCACTTATTCAGATCTGCTTTGGTGCTCATTAGTACTGTAGGGATTCTTTAGGTATTCTTTTTACATAATTCCTGAATATATCGTAATAAACTTTTAACCTCAATATTTTAAAAAATTTTGTTAATCTAAAAAGTGTATTTTTTACTACATTGCTTCTAAGTGCTTGTTTTAGTTATGTAGAAAATTTCTGGGTTATATATGTTTGTTTGTGACTTCAACAAACTCGCTAGTTATACCTGAAAGTATTTTCCATGGATTTTCTAGATAGAAAACAAATCATTTATACATTTTGACCATTGGTTTCGCGTACTTCTTCTTCTTTTTTTTATGTTTAACAATCTTTAATTCAAATGTAAAAGTTCAATACAAGCCATATATAGGGCTTGAGATTTGTTGGTCTTTTAAAAACAAGAAACGGGGAAATGCAACAAAATGATCTTTCCACTTTTCAAAAGCTTTCAAGTAAAGGATAGATCATAGGGCCATAAAAGATCAATTTAAATCAAACCCACTTTCACCCCCTACCAATTATTTTACACCCAATTCCACAATCTTAATACATATTCTTGAATTAAGATTTACAATTCAGCTTTACTTACATAACCATTTAAAAAATGCTTACCACCAGTGTGCTTCCTATGTGATGCCAAACAAATCATGAAACTACTTCAATATGCATTTCTTCTTTTTAAAACAAAGGGGGCAGTTATCTGTAGAAAGCAATACTCAGCCTCCAGATACATTTCCCAGAAATGGCATATGCCATTCAAAGGCCCAGACACTTGCATGCTTTCAATGTAGAATACCTAGCCTAATGTGCATAGAAGCATGAATGGCAAAGTTGAAGATCAATATTATAACTATTTTTCTATTTATTTGAAGCACAGTAAAGAAAAAAAATTGGTACACTTTGGAAATTCAATGGCACAAGGTACACTGCCATAACTTGAAGGACATTATACTGTAAAAAAAGAAAAAATAAGGAAGTAAGAAAAAAAAAATTCTCCTGTTTCAAACAACTGCGTTACCGAATTTTACCTGCCCAAACAGACCATTTACAAATATTAGGTCAATAAACTACTAACATCCATAAAAAGGTAGCTTTCTTACTAAAATGCAAGAATTTAAAAGATTGGTATCTAAACAAAAGACAAAAACAAACTGGAATGAAAGCCTAGATATCACATCTAAAATCGGGGTTTTTTGTTTGGGCCTTCGTACTCTTCTCTCCCTCTACCATATCCTGCTGGAGTTCCAGGCCCCATTCCTCTAGGACCCTGTCCACCCACAGGCCCCGCACCTCCCTGCCCGAAGCGCTCAGTACGCATGTCGCTTCCCATCATGGAATCACTCATGGTTGCTGGTGAAACTCCAGGATTAGCTTCATAACCTATGCCACCACCACCACCTAGAGGTGGAAATTTCTGGCCTCCTGAACCATAGGGATCTCCCATGTTCATTGCTCCTCCGCCACCCATTCTCATGTCTCTTTTTCTTGGATCCGTGTAGCCCATTCGGCCATAACTTTCATCTCTTTGGTGCCTCATTTGTTCTTCCATCTCACGCTTACGAATCATCATCTCTTCCTCTCTTCTACGTCGTTCCTCCTCTTGCCTCAATTGCATTTCTTTACGTTTCTGCATTTCTTGATTATGAAGTTCTTCCATGCGTCTTAATTCTTCCTGTCGTCTCATCAGATCTTGGCGCAAAAGATTTGCCTGATGTTCATGATAGGCATCTTCCATTTCACTTTCCAATTTGTCTTTTGCATCCTTCATATTTTTTTGAACTTGTTCTCTTTGCTGTTTTTCCATTTCATCCAACGACTTCCATCGCTGAGAATATTCGTACTCAAATGCGCCATGCTGGGCAAAACGAGGAGGAGTTTCTCTCTCCTTTTGATACATTGGATTCTTCTGTGCAAGTTTTTCAGGAAGACCATCTTCATCATCTATTCGAGTGGTTCCACGATGACTGGACGAGGAGTTGTTGTCAGCAAGAAAACACCTTCACTGCATCGTTCAAATGTCTTTCTTGCTGCTGGTTTAGAAGCAAATTCAACAGTGCCTTTCCCTGTAGATCTTCCATGATCATCCACTATTACAACAGCCCTTTCAATAGGACCAAACTGGCTGAAGGCTTCTTCCAACAGTTCATTGGAAACGTAAGGTGAAAGATTATGAACAGAAAGGGCAGCAGCATGTGTGGCAAAGCGAACTCGAAGCTGTCTACCTCTCATGGGCGTATCATCGAGCTCAGCTTTGGCAATTTCAGCCAAAGCTCTGGACTCAAGCTTAAGAAATCCGAATCCTTTGCCTTTGTGGTTAAAAACTTCTCCAGGTTCTCCATATTTAGCGAATAGTCTTTTGAATTCATCTTCCGTGATATCAGCAGGTAGATTCCCAACAAACAACCGACATCTCTGTGTGTAAGTTTTCTCTCCAGGCCTCCTCAAGAGAGACAAGTTGGCTTTAAACCCCTCCGAGTCCGAGATTTTCTCCTCGCTGCGGCCCCAGGGCCCAACGGGCGGGGGCCCCTGGTAGTGCTGCTGGTGGTAGGTGGTGGTGCTGGTGGCCCCGCGAGGCTCGCCGCTGCCTCTATGCGGTGGCTTCCGGTGGCCACCAGGAGTGCTTAGACCCGGGCCGCCACCTGGCTTTGACCCGCCAGGCATTTTGCCACCTTTGGGACCGCCCGGGCCTGGGCCCTGCTTAGTCCCCGGACCTGGGCCAGGGCCCGCCGGGCGGAGGTGGCGCGCCTCCTGCCTGAGGAAGTGTGGTAGGGACCCCGCTACTTGGCGGGGTGGGTGGCGGTACCCCGGGAGGGGCCGAGGTGACCGCGGGCGGCAGGGTCGGGGTCGGGCCTGTCCCGGACCCTGGCTGGGTCCCCGAGGTCGGCTGAGTGGTGGGCGGGCCTAGCTGGAGGCTGGCGGCGTGCTGCCTACTCCGGGAGCGTGGCTGGGTCCCTGAGCAATGACGGGCTTGGAAGAGTCCTGCGCGGTGGAGCGGCTGCTGCTGCCGCTGATGCGGCTGTGGATGTGGCGGCGGCTGCTGCTGCTGCTGGTGTGGAGGCGGTGGCGGGATGGGAGGCTTGGGGCCGTTCTGGCCCGGGCCAGGACCCATGGAGCCGCGGTTCTGATTGAGGCCACCGTGGCTGCCGCCTCCTCCGCGCCTGTGGAAGCCACCACCACCACCGCCACGACTCCGGAACCGATCCCGAGACATGTCTGTGGTCAAGGGGCGGTCGAGGCAGAAGGGAAGAAGACGCTCGGGAAACGTGGAGGCCACCTTGCTTCTCACAAAATGGCGGATGACACAGGCCGCGTACTTCTTTTTCTTGTCTTACGACCCGGGCTAGAGTTTTGAGATCAATGTGTAAAGCTGAGGATTTTCTGAGCATCCTCACCATAAACCTAACTTCAAAATGAGAATGACTCTGCCTTTAAGAATGAAATGAAATGGCTCTTGGTTTGATATTAATATTTCATATCTTCTTCATTATTCTTAGCTTTTTAATTTCACAAAGTCTGGATTGGATGATTACTTTTATCAAAAGTTTCTTTAGCATCTAGAAAAATAACTACTAATTTGAATTAATAAAATATTATGGATTCTCTAATATTCAGCTATCCTTAGGTTTCTGAGGAAACTGTATTTGGCTGTGACCTGAAATATTAGTTTAATGTAGAGATTGATGTTACGTACTGTAAATTGAGGAGTTGCGCGCTTATATTTGTGAGTGAGTGAAGTCTGCGCTTGGTCTCTGTTCTATGACCTTGAACGCTTTAAATTTCCTAGGTTGCATTGCACCTTGAACATTTACTTATTGCCTGCAAAATCATCTGTGTTCTATTTATTTTAAACAAAAATATTTTTCCAATTTTAATTTTCCCAAATAAGAATTATCTATGGCATTTAAATTGTCTTGTAATCATGTTCAGATCATTTTAAAATTAAAGTTTGTGTTAAATTACTTGCATTGCTCATCTATACCCATTCTATGCCATCATGTCCTCATTCTTTTTTTTCAATGTTGATTCGTCTTACATTTTTTCAGAGAACACCTTAAAAATAGCTTTTATTTTTTTAATGTAAATCAGTGGGTTTTTTTCTTTTTGCATATTAATACATATGTGAATATCTTTCTCTTCCTTTACCTAGGAATTCTACTTTCTCTGCCTAGAGATTTTATGGGTAGCACATTAAAATAGTGTAGACAGGGCCAAATTTACTCTGGTATGTAATCTTGCAGTAGCTAGTCTCATTTTTCTTTCTTTGTATGCACCCTATTTTTTCTTTTTCTTTCTTTTTTGAGATGGGGTATCTCTCTGTCACCTAGGCTGGAGTGTAGCAGGACAATTTTGGCTAACTGCAACCTTTGCCTCTTGGGTACAAGTGATTCTTCTGCTTTAGCTTCTTGAGTAGCTGGGGTTACAGGTGCCCGCCCCCATGCCCGGCTAATTTTTATATTTTTAGTAGATATGGGGTTTTGCCATGTAGGTCAGGCTGGTTTTGAACTCCCGACCTCAAGTGATCCACTCACCTCAGTCTCCCAAAGTGCTGGGATTACGGGTGGGAGCCATCACACCTGGCCACACACTGTCTTTTCTACCTTTATAGGTGTAGTAGTTTCTCTTTGTCCCTTTGTTAACCACAAAATTATTTTTCTGCTGCATCAAAAATATTTCTTTTCTTTGTATGTGTGTGTGTGGTTTAGTTCCTTTTAATTGATTTTAAATACGAACATTCTATTCCCTTGCAACATGTCTCAGTTATAATGAAACAGTGATCCCGTTCCACGTCTTCATTTATCTTCCTTTGAAGTGTTTGGTATTTATTTTCTAGCCTCTGTATTTGTTTCTCTTCTTCTTTAATCCTTTGTACCTCCTTGCCCCAATTCATCAAATTCTGGACATGTGTCTCAAGTTTGCCCTCACACATTCGATTTTCTGCGGCATGGGCACTCTACTCTTTGCTGATAACATATTTTTTTGGTCATTTTACATTTAGGTTTCATTGCATCTGTTCTCCATCTTTCATAAGTTTCCTTTTACTCACGTTTGTACTGTTGCTAGCTCACTTTCCATTTGCATGAGTCATCTTTTCATTTATTGTCCCATAGATGCCTTTTGGAAAACAGCCTTCCTGATCCCTTCACACAGGCTGCATCATGCTTGCTTCTGGGTCCTGTAGGTAGTCATTCGCCCGAAGAGCACCACCACCAAGCTCCTGGAAAGGCATTGGCTTCCTTGTACTTTTGCCGGACGTTTCACCATCTCTGGGTTCTGCTTCTTACCTCTTCCTGCTCTTCCAACTTCTTTTCCTCATTTTTTTTTTGCTTATTCATTTTGAATCATGAGAGCTCTATCATGACTTACAGTTACTCAATAATCAAGAGTTTATATGTTCTTTAAAGCCTTTTATGTCTATCTAGCTGGATGTAGAGAGGTCCTCTCGTTTTAATAGGAAGTAACCTGATTTAGGTGGTGCTTTCCCTTCAGGAATTCATGGTATTTTGGCTTTTACCTGAGAGTACAAAGTTGGGGTGATTGTGTTGGAGAGGATAAGGAGAATGGGCGTGGAGAAGTGAATGAAGATGGAAAGTACCCTACTAATGTCAGTCAGCCAAAATGGGGAATTTGGGATTGGGGACAATCATTCCCATAAAGATCCCATTAGAGTAAAGCAAAGGAAGGAGTCTCAGTGGAATCTTCACTTTCAAGTTAACATTCTATTTCCATCAATTCCAAATTAATACTATGTAACTATTCTGGTAATAGTTCTCTTACGTTGTCTGCTGTCATCTCAATTCTACTCAAAGTTAAAAAAAATTAGCCCATAGTATGAATTATCTGAGAATATTCTTAGCTTCTTTCTCTAGTTGCAGTAACAGAAATGCTACATGTCGGTTAATGTTGGAATGGAGCTCAGCCTGGGAATCATCATAGATTATGAGTATCATGTGTTGCTTTAAAACATTAAATGGCTCCCTAAGTGATCAAGGAAAATGAACTGATTAGCCAGAAGAAGTGCTAATTTTAGGCTGGGAAAATGAGCAAAAACAAAACAAAACCCCTTTCCATTAGCTGTTAAACCAAAATCAAGTATTTTTTTAGATGATTTTATGCTGATTCTTCTAAAATAGATAAATTAAAAGAATCAAATCCATTGTTCATGTGTCTGAAGAAAGAGTTTTAATAATATCATACAGCTACTGGTATATTGGTTTATTGTACTCTGGAGAGCAATTTGGCAGTTTGTAAAAAGGTCCATAAAAAATCTCTCATTTGATCTTATGTTTTGAGCTTACAGAATATTACTGAAGACAGTAAATATAACAGAAGAGAATATTTTATATGTACATATTTATACAAAGAGTACTTATTTCTGCACATAATTTTAAACAACTCAGATTCTTAGTAGTAAAAGAAAAGAACAGAACATCACTGATTACTATTCTGGACTACTATACTACTGTGAAAATAATAAGTATGTCCATTTATATGGAAGACGATAATAAAGTTAACATTCATTAGGGCCTTTCCATGAACCAGATGCTGTGCTAACCATTTTATAAATATTATCTTACTTAATACTATAAATAATCCCGTGTGGTAGATGCAATTATTAACATTCCCTTTTACAACCAAGAAAATTAAGTTTTATAGAGGCTAAGAAGTTTGCCAAATGTCATTAATATTTTTAAAGAGACTATGCTGTCATTTGAACCCACTTTTGCCTAACTCCAAGGCTCTAGGTCTTATCCTTTATTATATTTAGCCTTTCAAATAATAGATGAAAATCAAAGCAGAGTAATTAATGGTGTATACATGCTGATTATGGATTCAGCAACATGCAGAAACACAGACAGAGGCGCGGGGGCATTAAATGTGTAATCTAAACCTAATTTAGTTTTATTAATTTCTTTCTCTTTATAGTTCCTTAAAGTATGTGTTGAGTACCTGTATGTCTGTGTGCGTTTCTTGGTAAGTTTTAAAATTCACATGACTTGGGCTCATTTGGGACCATAAATATCCCTTGATTGTTTTAATACTATTCAGGGAAGACTAATGGATACCATTATAGGTCGAATGCATCGTAACCCATGGCAATTACAAAAGGGAAAAAGATTGCAGATGCGGAGGAGTGAAAGTGCATTTTCTTCATATTGCATTTGCCGCTTACGAAATGTTACCACCTAATAACAACCATGAGAGTTAACCTAAGAGAATTCCTATTTTACAAGTGACTCCATGGGAGCCAGGGAATCTAAGTGACCTGCTAGGTGTAGTTAAGTGATTTACACATTGCCACTCAACATGGGGGATCTCATTTGCCTCTGCCTCAGGCTCAACCAAATGAACTGCAGGTCTCTTGCCTATGAAACTGTAAATACCTGAAAATAGAATAAGTTACCAGCCCCTGGAAAAGGATTTCAATCAAGAAACTCACTCTTAACACTCTATATCAACTGCAGCCCTTCCCAGCCCTTGTCTTTTGTTGTTAATTCTAAAACTGGAAGGCAAAAAAACCTTTGAAGTTTTCCCAAGCAGAAGCAGCTGTTTTCATTTAAGAAGGCCTGGCATGTGAGGTCTAAGTTAACTCAACGTTTCATTAATTTTTACAGCATTACGCCTTTCTCTTATTTCTACCTAATCCTGTGACACCAATGGCTCTTACCAAAGAGCTAGTCCTTTAGTTAAGTTTAAAGCCATTTTACCTATGAGAGCGAGTCTACCACATGTGCTAGAGGAAAACAAAATTATAAATATAACATTGAAGGCAAAGGAGAGAAGGAAGGGAGGGAGGGAGGGAGGCATCTGAACAGAAGAAATCAAGGTCATGGTGTTTGAACTAAGAGAAACTTAATGGGGATTAAGAAAGCATCATAGGATGTTTATGTTTTTGGTTTGAAAAATCCTGAACTTAGATTACTGATTTAGAAGAAAGATGGTGACTCTTAAAGTTTCTGTGAACATTTCCACGTTTTACCTGATTTCTTTATCCTTGCCAAGTGCCACATTGCTCCCTCTCAGGAAGGAAAGAAGTAAAGAAACCTAGCTATATTCTACTGTACGCAAGATAAAATAGTCTATCATGGCTTTTCTGTCCCACAATTTTTCATGAAGTCCTCACTTTAGTACCTAGCATAGTTTCCTTTTTTTTCTTCTTTTATTTTTTGTTTTCTTTTTGAGTCAGGGTCTCACTATGTTGCCCAGGCTGGTCTCAAACTTCTGGGCTCGAACAGCCCTCCTGCCTTGGCCCCTCAAAGTGCTGTGATTACAGATGTGAGCCACCACATCTGACCCCTAG